TGCACCATTTCTCTATGTGTTCCCATTGTCTGCTCACAATAGGAGGTGAGGAGACAGCAGTTGTTTTTTTTTTTTTTTTTTTGCAAAGAAACAAATGCAGACATGAGCAACAAAGGACCCGTTTTAGATAGTCCCACAATGACACATCTCGGGTTATTATTTTCCAGTCCAAAAGCGCACATACCTGCGGTTTTTGAGAGACCTCTCTTAATTGGAAGAAGGATCACCAAAGACTCGGGCGTGACAAGAAGAGGCCAATAAAATAATCCGCCGCCAACAGCAGTAACTTAATCCTCTCCTGTGTCCAGACAAGCGTTCACGTAGATTGCGCAGACCTATAACAAAAATGTGCTCATTAGAGGGGGGGCAAATCCGATTTATTTATTTATTTATTAACCCAATTCTCAGCTGTCTTCTCGTTAGTTTGCTAGGAATTGCGCCTGTCTGCTGTGGCAGAGGTCTAACCTGACAGAGCATGTCCCGCGCTAATAAAGCCACGCTAAAAAGAGCCCGGCTGCCGGTGATGGTGGAGGGAGAGATGCGGACACCGCTTGTCCCCGTCTCCCTTTACAAACGACTGTTTTGAAGCGACGACTCGAGCAGAATCCCAGACACTTCCGCTCAAGGCAGGATGTGTCAAAGACACGCAGGAGTAAAGAGAGATATCCTCCGTCTACGTCTACATTCCCGTCGGCCAGACCGGATATGTACTACATAGACCTAAAAACGGAAAACAGACCGCTATTACGGGTACGCTGTTAGCTCAAACTATCAGCAAACCTCAATTGAAGCCATTAGCATTTAAGCACTTAACTTTTAATTAGGGCTTTAAATGTGGAGTAATATATCAATTTTGGGGTTTAAAAACCTAATCGACTGTTTCTCGGAGGATTTATGCGTGTTCCCAAACTGATATCTGAACTCAAATTTAGATGAAGATGATTTGAAATGATAATGATGACAATTAACAATTTTAAAACCTTTTGCTGACATCCGGTCTTTTAAAAAATCGTTACACGCAGAGGTTTTTTTAAAAATAGTCTTTGTGCTCATTACTCAGAGCTGTGTCTCGTGTTGTGGTAGCACCTTATAATACAGTGCAATTGTAATACAATATGGCGTAATTTCCAAATCTTTGTCATTATTCTAAATTTAAAGTGTAAGGGCTAATGTACAGAAAAATGAGAGAGTAAGAACTTGAAGTTTTAAAGGAAATGTGAATTTATTTATTCATTCATTTAATGTAAGCTTCTTAATATTAGGAGTAAGGTTTATCAAGCAATGTTTCTTTGTCTTACATTGTGATTACACAATATCACGAAGGGGTTAGCTGTATTATAGAGTATCCTAACCCCCCCTTTACATTGCAATTGCCCATTATACACATATATACTGTACATACTGGAATACACTTATTGTATTCCGCTTATTCTTGGCTTATTAATATTATTTTATTTGTATTTTTAGCTGAACATTATTCAGAAAGATATATTTAAAAGATTATTGGAGTATAATTAAAGTATAATGTCTTAAGTCAATTAAAACAAATGTAAGGAGCACTAAGGTGTTGAATAAAATGTCAAAGAAATAATTTTCCCACTCATTCCCAGACAGGACTTATAACACATTCTACTAACATCCAAGCTGCACATGAGACCTATCACACCAAAGGTGTGAGCAAATAGCGCTACACTGCAAACCCAGTCTAGAGATACTGCAATCAATTTACCTATGGGCATGCACTGCAAACAATTTGGACCTCTGCACAGCTGGGAAGCAGCACTATGACCTGCAACCTGGGTTTATAAAGGAAATGGCACAAACAAATAAACGAAAAAAAAAGAAAAAGAGAGAGGTTAGTTCGTCCTTACAAGACTCACTCTCAATCATTCATAACAGCCCTTACGGCTGGACGGACTAACCAATACAAAATTACAAATCAACCAAAAGAACAACAAAAGGACAGCAGAAGCAGCACAACAACAGCTGCAAAACACAAAGAAGATTATCGATTATCGACCCGACAATGAGTTGAAAAGGGAACACACTTGAAATTTTATTTATTTGTAGTCTATTGTGGCCATTTAAATGGGTTTGAATGCTGTCCAGCAGTCTTCCTTATCGAGCCAAGTTGGCTACACCCACCTCATGTTCTTGGTCCCCATAAGAATCCAAATGGGGCACACTCTCATCTGTGAGACTTGACATCCCTTCCTTTAACACCACAGAATCACCATCTCCCTCTTCTGTAAACATCTGTTCTACTTTATCATTTATCAGAGGAATTCAAATCTCTCTGAACCCTTCGCATTTCTAACCGTCGCTGCACAACATCATATCCAGCAAAAGCAGCAAACTGCCAGGTCAGACTTGTTACACAAACAAACGAACACAAAACTTTTGGCTGTTCTCTTAATTACAAAGGTTTGCCACAACGAATTCCACATATTTATCAGAGTCTTACGCCAGATGCCGTTCCTGTAGACACTCCAAAGGAATTCATGTCCAACCCCGGGGCCCATTAGTTTAAAAAAAAAAAACACGGAATAATTTATATGTTTTAATAAGTATTTTAAAAATGCATTTGAAAATATGGCTTTAATTTGTAAACATTGCACTTTAAAATTGTTGAAATAATAATTTTTTTTTTTTTAAAGCCCCCAAACAATCTTAAATAATCAGGCCTCATATCATCTCAAAGACCTCATAGTACCATATCACCCCAGCAGAGCACTTCGCTCTCAGAGTGCTGGTTTACTCGTAATTCCTACACTATTTAAAAGTAGAATGGTAGGTAAAGTGTTCGCTTTCAGGCCCCTCTTCTGTGGAACCAGCTCCTAGTCTGGAGACAGACACCCTCTCTGCTTTCAAGATCAGTCTTGAAATTTCCTTGGTGATAAAGCATATAGTTAGGGCTGGATCAGGTGACCCTGAATCCTCCCTTAGTTACACTGCAACAGGTGTAGCCTTCTGGGGCTTCCCATGATGCATTGTTTCTTCTTCATTAACCCTTTTTCACTCATTATGTGTTTATAAACCAATTTCTCAATTTAATCGTTAGTTATTATTCATCTCTGGCTTCACAGCGTGTCCTTGTCCATTCTCCCTCCTTTCACCCCCAACCAGTCAGGCAAAGAGCTGCACCTATCTCAGCCTGGTTCTTCCAGAGGTGTCTTCCTGTTAAAAGGGAGTTTTTCCTTTCCCCTGTCAGGAGGTGCTTGCTGATAACGGCTCATCTGATTGTTGGGGCTTTCTCTGTATTGTCGGAGGGTCTCTACCTTACAATGTAAAGCACCTTGAAGCAACTGATGTTGTGATTTGGGACTGTATAAATAGAGTTGAATTGAAAAACAATATCATTTGTCACTCTTGCTCGGTGGTGTGATGGTGTCTAAAAAATAAAATAAAATTTCTGAAATGTTTCTAAAATGGCTGCATTGAAACAAGCTGTATTTTATCTTCTTGATGCACGCTCAATTATCCAGGCAAGTAAATCCCCAAAAGGTTGATTCTGTTCATCTGGATGTAAAGTTTTTAGTGGGAGAAATGTTTCCTCACTCATCCAAGTGACTTCTTCAGTCTCAGCTGACTGCAGGTTTCCCCAATCTACATTTGCATAATGACCGAAACCAGCCCACTGAAGGAACAATGGGCTGACCTCCGAGCCTATTGCCCAAGGATCGGGCCCCCGACACAAACAGAGTAATATAGTATTAAGTGCCAAGAGGATTGCCATGATTTATTTATCTGGGAAACCAAACAGCCTCTAGCGAAGCCAATATCACAACACAGAAGAGCTACCTTGTCAGACCAGGACTCTGCAGTCTATTTACACCTACAGGCCAGTGGACACTCTTTCAATGATGAGGATGTACACATCCTCCAAGCCTACTGTTCCTTCAGTGGTGCTAGTTTCAGTAATTGTGCAAATGTACTGTTTATAAAATTGGGGAAACCTGCAGTCAGCTGAGACTGAAGAAGTCACTTGGATGAGTGAGGAAACATTTCTCCCACTGAAAATGCTACGTCCAGATGAACAGAATCTACCTTTTGGTGAAGCCGTACTTTAGTAGAATTAGAGATTGCATTTAACAGATCTTGTCATTATTTGCAAATAAAGTACAGAGATTTTTATTTGTGTTTGTCAAAGTAAATTTAGTTAAAATCCAGTGGCTTCTCATTGTCACCAGAAATTGTGGTGGTTTTTTGAGGGTTATTCAGGTTAATGCAGCATTGTGGCGCCATCCAGTGTTTGATATACCATATTGACGCACAGAGATCATTTTCTTTTTAAAAATCCCAGGTGTTTCCCTAGGTTCCCCACATGCAGAGAAGGCATAAAAATCTAAAAACATGATAAAATATGAAAAAAGAAAGCCCTCTCTAAAACGATAGGGTGAAAATGAACGTTTATTGCTTGGTATTGTCTGAAAGGATGTTTCAATTCTGAAGTAAGGGCTCAGTTTCACATTATTTATACACAATGTACGCTATATTACAATACTCACAACCCCAGAAATCACAATCTAAAACCTTTGACAATATCACCCCCGAGTTCGACCTATTTACACTATAAATACCATAGTGTTCAACATGTGCAACAGGTGGCTCCGTGGCGCAATGGATAGCGCATTGGACTTCTAGGCATAGATGCAGACATTCAAAGGTTGTGGGTTCGAGTCCCACCGGAGTCGCATTTTTGTACTTCTTCTGGAAAACTTCGGCCATCTTTATAGTCACCTGTACTACATACCACTACATGTCACGAGTGTCAAGCGATTACAAAACAGTGATTGTAATTATTAAAAAAATCGCAATGTTTTATTGCCTCACGGGTAAATGTCTATTTTTTTCCTCTCAGTTGCGTTACACTAACATGTAAAGTCATTGTTGGTGGAATAAAGTATTAACCGTAGTTACCTTAACTGTGAACAGTGTAGCGACTGTTGCTTTATAAATGAATTAAATGTGTCAAGATGTGTAGTTTGGCTTAATGCTAAACGTAGTTAGCCATAGCTGCGTGTTTCCACACGGAGACCCAGCACTGCTGCACCGGGTGTAACCAGCGAGCTAACATTAGGCTAGTTAGATGTAGCTAGCTAGCTATAGATATTTGGGGGTGTACGCAGCTGTAGAATGAACCTTATACACGCAAATATTGAGGGGCAGCAATAAAACGTGTTGCTGTCACTTCGTTTTAAAGTCGCACTGTTGTTGCCGTCGACGTCTTCGGTCTGTTTGTTTGCCCCATTAGCTGCCTTGTGTTGGTCTGTTAGCCTCCTCAGCTAGCCAGTGTCGTATGGGTATCAGAGTTAGCAGTGACTTCACCCGGCTGCTGGTTGCCTGATCTTTCATTTTGGACACGTCAAGGTAAACATTTAGCCATCGGCGAGTTTGAAAGCTAGCTAGTGATGAAGCCAATGTTTAGCATTTGCTCTTCTTCGCAATGCTTTTTAAATATGCAGACACTAGCTAAATAACTTGGAACAATCGTGTCAGATTGAATTTATTCACTTTAAGCTCCTATCAGCGATGAATTGTTGTTACCGACACTGTCATTTATCTTAACTGGGGCTAATGTAGGCTAACCTCTGTTGTCAAGTTCGTCAGTATGTTCAGATTTATCTGATTTATTTATCCAGTTACTGTTGTTAAAACCTGTTGTTGTTGTTGTTGTTGTTGTTGTTGTTGTTGTTCTGTTTGCCCCTTAAATTACAGTAATTTTCCCTAAAAGAGAATTGGACTGAATTAGACTCAAATCTGACTCAAAACTGTTAATATTTGGACTATTTATCAGTAAGAAGACAAAATAACACAAAGTTTTTATTAATCTCTTCATCAGGCGAAAATAATAATTAATTTTTGGTAAAACGTGTCACGAGTAGTCGGTATGTATTGATCTCTCGGCCGACCTTTGACCTGTCATTGCACACTCAAAGATCAGTGTTGACACTGATTAATAATCAATATTAAAGACTTTCAGCTTGGAAGTAGGGTTGTAGTCAGTGAAAAGAAGTGAAATTGTTTGTGTTTAAGAATGTCAGAAAATGTGAATTTGACTTCACACAGTTCAAACTAACATTAAATTTGGACCATTGGTTTAAAATCCAGAGATATTCAGGTGTTTTATATATTCAGGTTATATAACAACTGTTAAAATTTACTTTGTAAGAGCTCAGTGAATTACATTTGTGGAACTTTTTATAAAATAAAAAAAAGTGTTCTGTCCATTGTTGTGCTGATGAAACAAGTCACAATACTAAGACTGTATTTATATAGCACCTTTGAAAGCAGAGGTTGACAAATGACATCGAGAGCTAGGGGGGGGGGAAGGTAATCAGAAGGTGAATGAAATGCAAACATCTTAACCAGAAGGCTTCACATGGGGGCCTAAAAAAACAGGATGAAAGCATGTGATTTAAAGCAAGATGCTGTTTTTGCAACCTTAGTCCTTAACCAGATTGTTCCAAACCCAGTGCACCCACATTGCAAAAGCAATTTCAGTTAAATTAAAGCCTCGCCTGGGGAACGCCGAGAATGGTCACACCTGAGAATTCAAGGAACTGGCTCCTAATTGATTCACCGAATCACTGTATCAGCCAGTCTTGTTATGTAAATGATAAAACTTTCCATCTTCCCCCTCAAGGTCCCTCCAGTCTGTAGCTTAAGTTTAGGGGGTGTGATGTCAGAAGCCAAGACCCCCACTCCCACCCCTCCTGGAGACACATACAAAGGATGGGTGTTCAAGTGGACAAATTACATCAAGGGTTATCAGCGGAGGTGGTTTGTGCTGAGCAATGGGCTGCTGTCATACTACAGGTACACCTTTCTGTAGAACACTGGTATAGTTTAAGGATATTTCTCTTTTCTTTTTAGTTACTTTTTATTCCCAAAGTCAAATGAGGCTCTTCTGATTATTAGGACCCAGGCAGAGATGGGTCACACGTGTCGGGGCACCATCAACTTGGCTACAGCTACTATCACTGTGGATGATGCCTGCAACTTTGTCATCTCCAATGGAGGGGCACAAACATATCACCTCAAGGCCAGCTGTGAGGTGGAACGTCAGCGATGGATCACTGCCCTGGAGCTGGCCAAAGCCAAGGCTGTCCGCATGCAGGCAGAGTCAGGTAAAACAGACTTCAGGGGAATTATTTAGTGCTTCTGTACATATTTACACGCATGTCCACTTTGTTAGGTACACCTTGTGTCTACTGGGCTGGACGCCCTTTTCCTTTCAACAAGATTCAACAAGGTGCTGCAAACATTCCTCAGAAAATTTAGTCTGTATTTTCATTATAGCATCGCACAGTTGCTGCAGATTTGTTGGCTGCACATCCATGATGTTTAACCACACCCTAAAGGTGCTCTATTGGCTTGAGATCTGGTGATTGGAGTTCATTTGAACACAGCGAACTCATTGTCGTGTTCAAGAAAACAGTTTGAGATGTTTTGAGCTTTGTGACATGCTGTGTTATCCTGCCGGGCAGTGTGCTAGATGGGTACACTGTGGTCATAAAGAGCTGGACATAGCCAGCAGCAATACTCAAGTAGACTGTGGTGTTTGAATGATGCTCAGTTGGTACTATGGAGTGGACACACTCTGGGACCTTTAGTAAAAACACCAGCAGCGGCCTGAAACATTGAATGTTGCAGCAGAAATCAAGTCTCATCAGGTCAATGTTTGTCCCAATCTTTGATTAGCCAGTGTGAATTGGAGCCTCAGTTTCCTGCTCTTAGCTGACAGAAGTTGCACTCGGCCTGATCTTGTGCTGCTGGAGTCCATTTGTATGTGATGTTGGACGTGTTGTTCCTTCAGAAAAGCTCTTCTGCACACCTTGGCTTGTAAAGAGTAGTTATTTCAGTTACTGTTGCTTTCCTGTCAGATGAAGCAGTCTGACTGTCCTCTGACATCAGAAAGGCATTTTTTGTCCAGAGAACAGCTGCTCACTGAATATCTTCTCAACAGCCATGACACTTTAAGAGTCTCCTAAATCACACTTCTTCCCCTTTCTGATGCACAGATTGAACTTCAGCAGGTCGCATTGACCAATCCTAAATGCACTCAGTTGCTGCCATGTGATTGGCTGATTAGATATTTGATATTAACAAGCAGTTCAACAATGTACCTTAGAAAGTGGCTAGCAAGTGTATGTATGTATGTATGTATGTATTTATTTATTTATTTATTTATTTATTTATTTATTTTCCTTTCCTTTTGTTTGATTTCCTAACAGATGACTCGGGCGATGACTTCCCTTCATCGTCACCACGCATCACACAAGGTGGTGGGTCACAAAATTCAGAAGTCCAGTCTGCTCTCAGAACCCTGAGCAACAAAGTGGAGGATCTGAGCACCTGCAACGATCTGATCTCAAAGCATGGCTCTGCCCTCCAGAGGTCAGACTTAAACCCATTTTGCCTTGCTCTTTGCTTTAATCTTCAGGCAACAGTCTCATTTATGCCTCATGTCTCTACTAGTCTACTATGTGAGCTCTAAATTTGAAGTTATAATTCTGTAGGTTTGGTAATTCAGTGCCATATTCAGATGTTTTGTACCATTTGCAGAAGAGTCCTGTTATAAAATCATTGATGTGTAAATTGACTACATATTGTCCAAACATCCAAAGTTCATATTTTTTTCAGGTCATTAGCAGAACTGGATGGTTTACGTCTGACTGGAGAGGCTGGGGATAAGATTCGCCAAGTCACAGAAAGAGCCACTCTGTTCCGCATCACCTCTAACGCCATGATCAATGTAAGTCTGACATCCTTGTGTGTTGATCTCTGAGTTTTTAATATATAATGTGTATATATACCAGAGAAGACCTTGTCTATGTATTACTGCGCAGCTTTTCAATGAAACACATTGAAAAGTGTTTCAATGTTATGCTTCTCAGGCGTGCCGAGACTTCTTGACGCTGGCACAAACTCACAGCAAGCGATGGCAAAAGGCCCTGCAGGCTGAGCGGGAGCAGAGAGTGCGGCTGGAGGAGACTTTAGAGCAACTGGCCAAACAGCACAATCACCTCGAGCGAGCATTCAGAGGAGCCGCACAGGCTAATGCTAGTCCAGACAATAAAGGTAAGTTGTGATTCTGACAAGATAACAATGAAGGATGATGCACATGTCTATTGACATTCTACAAGAGTGTGAGTTAATGTTTTCAGAAAGTTTTTATTGTAATACCAGCACTTATTTTGTAAATCTTACTTCTGACCTCCATACAATAAGTAAAAAGAGTAAACTAACCCTGAAAATAATAAAAACTAAACTAAAACTAATTTTTCAAACAACAAAAACTAAACTGAAATATGAAAATCGATTCTGAAAACTAAATGAAATGAAAATAAAATACTAAACTATTATAACTCTTATCAGGTACATGTGGCGTACAACTCTTTCGAAATCAAAGATGTGGGGCCACCAACTGTTTGCATTCGACTTCGATTTCTGAACAAAACTCATTAAACCTCATTTCCCACAGAGATATTTTTCAGTGGTAATCCAAGAGCCTGCGAAAAATTTCATTGGCTTTTTATCAAGGAACCAGGGAGATGCTAACTCCTGGGTGACCAAGATTTTCTGTGGCTGACATACGAGAGTCCTTGTGATCAAGCACTTAGCAAGAAAAATAGAATCAAGATGTGAAACTAAAAGAACATTATCAGTTTCAGTCTCATCAAACTTTTTAATTACTCCGTTATTGACTAAACCCCAATTTGAAATCCCCTTGGCAATTATCAGGTAAATGTGAAGTCAAGTTTTACAAGTAGCAGTACCCGTGATTACCTGATTCTGATTCCATGTAACCAGATGTGAGGAATTGCAACTTCCTGTTTTGTTTGTTTGTTTTAAATTTTTGTTTTAACACTTTAAATGCTCTGAATCAGAGGTGTCAAACTCCAGGCCTTGAGGGCCGGCGTCCTGTAGGTTTTAGATCTCACACTGGGTGATTACCAGACTTCTGGAGAACTTCAAGACATGTTGAGGAGGTAATTTAGTCATTGAAATCAGCTGTGTTGGATCAAGGACACATCTAAAACCTGCAGGACACAGACCCCCGGGGCCTGGAGTTCGACACACCTGCTCTATATTACATGTTGTTTTATTGTTTTTGTGATACCTGGAGAATCATCTTTAAGCTTCTGTATAGGGAAAACTTAGATGTTTGTTTGTGTTAAGGTGCTGCTGGGCCTGGAAAAGGTGAGGCCAGTGATGAGGATGATGACAATGAGTTCTTTGATGCCATGGAAGAAGCCCCCGAGTTTATCACTGTACCTGCGGACCCCCAGTTTCACAAGTCGGTATCTTTCTCTTTACCCGTCGGTACAGATTGACAGATGGAGTTAGTTGGGGGTTTTCCCCAAGACTTTGTGTGTGGCTTGTCTTTGTTTTTATATATTTAGACCACTTCCTTGTATCACATTCCAGTATGTATTTATCTTAAGTCAATCAAATTGTGTGTGTGTGTGTGTGTGTGTGTGTGTGTGTTTGTGTGTGTGTATCAGGTCTTTTTTTTTTAAGCCTCTCTTTTCTCATATGTGAAAATACCTGAATAACTAGTAACGTTCACGTCACTAACAGAATCTATTTGCTTTTTTTTTGATCTCTTACAGAAGGTCAAGCAGTAATATCAGCGGCCTCAATAGTGAATTGTGTGCAGATGATCAGTCGGTAGGCCTCATTCTGTCCGAATCATTGAAATCTTATTATAATGCTGTATCCCATCTTTTAAAATAACACAGTCTGAATGAAAAGCTGCAGTAGGACGGGTGTTGTATGGATATTCTTTAAACATGATTTTGTTGCTATGGTAATAAATCAAAAACATTTCCATTTTATATTGATAAACGTTTCTGCTTCTTAGCTTAACGAGGAGCCTCTTGCGATGAACCAGGAGTCCCCCTCCCAGGAGCTGGTACCCTTAAAGAAGAGGCGGACACGCATCCCAGACAAACCAAACTACTCCCTCAACCTTTGGAGCATCATGAAAAACTGCATCGGCAAAGAGCTGTCTAAGATCCCGATGCCTGTAAGGATTTCTTACTGAACGTCCAGTCAGAGTTACTGAAAGCTTGTTGTTCTTCCATGTGTGCTTCGTTGTTCACCTGTTGAAGAAGACGTCTGATCAGCTTCATTTTGGACAGTCAGACTCAAAGAGTTTGAGTGTTAAAATATTTGTGTCTTACTCATAATATTCAATTAATGAAAGATTTGGGTGCCGTTAAACACCCCTCCTACCCCAAGTTAAAACCACATTGGAAATATGGTTTGTGTGCGTTTACAGTAAAAATACAAAATCTACGATAAGCTAACCGCATCATTAAATGCCACCGCAGTGCCTCCAAAATGTGGCAGCAGTCAGTTCAGTGTGACGAAATTGGAGCGTAGATACTGATCCCTGTCCTTTTTCTGCTGTAAGGGTTGTCAGCATTCTGCGAGAGCTTTTGAAGATGTTTATCGGCAGATCTGCCCAGATTTTGTTTATTTGTGAAATCGACTGTAGGTCACTTGTAGGATGTGGGTCAGCAGAGTTGTCTAAAATGAGCTACCATCACGGCTTTTTATAGGAGTCCAGACAAACTGATTTGTCAGACTGATCACTGCTGAGATAAATGGTCACATGTTTGATTTGGCTTTGTTCTGTCAACTTATCACTGCCATTGTGTCGCCCTGCCCCCACTGTAACAATAAAGAGTTTTGTCTCTGCCACATTACAGAGATACTTTGACATTGACACATGTCGACTTCCTGTAGCTTAGCAACACTACCCGCCAGGTCACTGCTGACCCATCTATGGTTGTGGTTTAGAAAATTGCTTGGGCTTTGCTTAAGCCAAAAGCTAAATTAGCAGATTTTCAGAAACTGGCAATAGAGGTTTTCTGTTAAAAGCTTTTCTATTTGGTCTTTCCAAACAGAAGACGTTACCCAAACCATACCTGTACCTATCTAACAGTCTACACATATATACTTTTACTGAAGTGACGCTACATAGCAAGCGTCAGTGTGTGTGATGGGCCTCGCTCACATTGAGTGTAGCAGAGTGGAGACAGATGCATATGCTGACAACAACTCTTAAGGTCACCGAAAGCGTAATAAAAACTTTCCAAGAAGTGAAGAGGGAACACAAACCTGACCACAGTTTGTGGTTAAGTCACAAACTACTGCAGCAAGTGTGAAATTGCTCAAAAACTGCTGACTCTTTGTTATTAGCTTCCTCTGTGCTAACAAAGCTCTCCCAGAAGGAAGCAGTGCACTGCTGCAGATGCACACAGGACAGTATAGAACCGAATTGAACAGATCAGCCTGTGGTCACTTCTACCCATTCTAGCTTTTTGAATCGGGTTCAGATCCACGTCTTAGCCATGTGTGAGATTTGTTGCTGGAATTAATACATAACACAAATATAAAAGTAAATTTCAAACATTTTGCTTTCTAGGTTAATTTCAATGAGCCCATCTCCATGCTGCAGCGGTTGTCTGAGGACCTCGAGTACCACGAGTTGCTGGATAAGGCCGCAAAGTGTCAGAACTCTTTGGAGCAGATGTGCTACGTGGCCGCCTTCGCTGTGTCTGCCTACTCCACCACAGTCTACCGCACGGGAAAGCCTTTCAACCCTCTGCTGGGAGAAACGTATGAGCTGGACCGCAAGAGAGAAAGTGGCTACCGCTCCCTATGTGAGCAGGTGAGGGAGGAAAAAACCCAAGAGAATGGAAGTTTTCCAACCGAGAACTGTAACTCAAGAGAGAGATTGAATGTCAGAAAGGAGGAATTAAAAAAAAATCCCACTGACTTGGCATTAAGAGAGAATCTTACTTCCTTTTTCTGCGCAGTTGGGGTTGAACATGCTGGCAGGGAACCAGAATTATTATTATTATTATTATTATTATTATTATTATCATTATTATTATTATTATTTTTAATATGGAGACATGAAGTGGCGACTTTTTTTTTTTCTTTATCAAAAAGTGTCATATTTCTGCCCCTTCTTGTCGTACAAACCTAAAACAATCTAAAGTCACTGGTTGATCCTGAATAGATTATTTGTAGAGGAGGAAATCAAATGGAGGTTTAGTGTGTGTGTGTGTGTGTGTGTGTGTGTGTGTGTGTGTGTGAAAGCTGTCATGTCACATGTCAGATTTATGAGACTAAATGTGAGTCACATCTATTGGGGATGACTCAGACTCACGAAGAATAGGACTTGATGTTTTGTTGCATCAGAAAAACATTTTCTCTTTCCAGGTGAGTCACCACCCACCTGCTGCTGCACATCATGCTATCTCTGATCGTGGCTGGACGTTGAGACAAGAAATCACAGTTGCGAGCAAGTTCAGGGGGAAATACCTCTCCATTATGCCTTTGGGTAAGAGGCAAGCTAGGTTAGAAAACAAAGCATACCATTCTTCCATAGTGTCAAGGACAAAAGATGTACACACAACTATCATCAGAATTTATAAGTGACTAAAGAGTGTACCAGCCCACACCTTTCTTTAGTTGAACCATAAAATGGTAATTACTAATGAACAAAGGTTTTGCTTTGCTTTTTGTTTTTTTTTTAGTTTGTTTCATATTTCTTTTCTTCGTCACAGGCACAATTCATGCAGTCTTTGAGAAGAGCAATAATCACTACACATGGAAGAAAGTTAACACCACGGTGCACAACATCATTGTCGGAAAACTTTGGATCGATCAGGTGAGACGCTCGGACACGTCGTTGCAGGGCCACAGGGCCTGATCTGCAGAGGAGGCAGGAATGAAGAGCAAGAAAGGCTCTGTTATGACGCTCCTAACAAGGAAAATAAACATGGGTTTATCTTTTACAACCAGCTTTGCCACGATATGATTAACATGATGTCTTTCATGGAGAGACAATAACAAGTTCTCATGCTAGTAACATTAACAAAGAAGTGACATTTGAATAGTTACTGACGCCTTTAATCACTTCAGTGATTCACAATGACATTAATATGCAGGGTGGATACCAAAAAGAAAACGCACAAAGAAAACTTTTGAAAGGATGTACTTCAGCACATCCGTACACTTATCTGATCTCCTGCACGTACACGTGTACATGTTAGTCATCAGAGATCTGCATAACTCGTTCTGTGCAGATTTTTACGCAGGGTGCCCTTCCCACTACTGCCCTCCCATTTATTTGGCAGTTTGTTTAACAGCTTTAACTCACTTTTAACAGCTCAGGTTCTCGATTGGTTCTCATATCTAAAATTTAGAAGTTTTCAAGTTTCACTTGGTAGCATCTGGGGTTCCTCAGGGCTCTGTCCTTGGTCCATTACTCTTTAACCTTTACGTATTCCTGCTTGGTCCCATCTTAAAGAATCAAAATATCATTCTTGTGCAGATTAAACATAGTTGTACTTATCATTTCCCTCTGATGTAACCTCACACACTAATGATTGATTAGACTGGATGTCTAAAAACTTTTGTAATTTAACAGAGAGGTGATGAAGATATTTGTTGTCAGAGACTAGTTTTCTAAAACACAACAAGCAACCCAGGAATCTGTACTGCGGTCACTTAGTTCACTTACAGTTCAGTACAGAATTACCTTTTAAAGTCCTTCTTTTTGTTAATATAGCTTTCTGTCTTTAGGCCTCCCGGTACACCTCTGACTTAGTGTCTATAACAAGGTCAAACCTCTCAGGTCATCAGGGGCAGCTCTTCTCACTCCTCTCAGATTTAGATTCGAGTGTGCTAAGGGAGCTTTCTGTTAGTGCTCGCCTGTTCTTTGGAACAAGCTGCCTGCTGACCTAAAGGTCAGTTGCAACTATGCCTGCCTTCACAGACAGACTCGGGATTTTACTCTGTGTGTTTGTACGTGTTACCGTGTATTTAATTCCTTTGCAAAGTCTGATTTGTTTTCTATTGGTTAATCGCAAAGAGTTCACATGTAATGAAATGTGCTATATAAATGAATTTGCCATGGCTGGTTGCCATCACATAGCATTAAAATACCCTATTTCTTTGCTTCCAGTTCTAATTTTTACTCTACAGATAAAATAGAGTAAGAGCATTGCGTTGCAGCATTTTAACTTGAGTGGGAAGTAAAATTTTTATCTAGTCGATATCATCCCCACTTGTGATTTTTTTATTTTTATTTTTTTTATTTTTCCCCCTCCTCACTGTATATCCCTGTGTTTCCCTTCCAGTCTGGTGAGATAGACGTAGTAAACCACACCACTGGAGACCGCTGCCACTTAAAGTTTGCTCCTTACAGCTACTTCTCCAGAGATGTAGCCAGAAAGGTGAGAAAGATGCAGAAGACCTGAATAGATGTAGTCTGTTTTTCTCTGACTTGCTTTGAAAGAAAACTCACACACAGTAGGTGCATCAAGTTTGAACCAACAGACACATTTTAATATACAGGCGGTATATTGTGGTATTGTGGTAACCTCCCCTCTCTTCTGTTTTTAGGTTACAGGTGTGGTAATGGATAAAGATGGAAAGGCACACTACGTGCTGTCGGGCACATGGGACGAGAAGATGGAGTTCTCCAAGGTGATGCAGAGCAGCCGAGGAGGCGAGAACGGCACTGAGGGCAAACAGAAGACAGTCTATCAGACCCTTAAAGCCAGAGAGTTGTGGAGAAGAAACCCTTTACCGTAAGTGCTGTTTTAAAAAGTAAAACCGGGC